AAAAAAAAAAAAAAAAAAAACCAAACAAACAAACAAAAAAAAACAAAAAACCTCTGGCTGGAGTTAATTCAACATGAATATGGAAGCTCAGAACAGAAGTATGAGACTCAGGCAGGAAATGACAAGAGATGAAGCTATCACCTGTAGCCTTGTATAAGATGCTAGAAAGTTCACTTGCTCCTGTGGGAAATAAGGATTACTCCACTTCCAATGGAGGACTACTTGACACAGATTTATGATTTAGAAAGATTACTTGTCCGGGCACTGTGGCTCAAGTCTGTAATCCTAGTACCAAAATGAAGGTTAGCAGGAGGTTAGCTTGAGGCCAGGAGTTCAAGACCTGCCTTGGCAGCATAGGGAGACCCCATATCTACAAAAAAAATTTTTAAATTAGCCAAGTGTGATTAACCAGGTATGGTGGCATGCACCTGTAGTCCCAGATACTTGGGAGGTTGGGCAGGAGAATCACTTGAACCTGATAGGCAGAGGCTGCAGTGAGCTGAGATCGTGCCACTGCTCTCCGGCCTGGGCAACAAAGCAAGACCCTGTCTCAGAAGAAGAAAAAAAGGAGAAAGAAAAAAAATAAAATTAGCCAAGTGTAGGGGTGCATGCCTGTAGTCCCAGCTACTCGGGAGGATTGCTTGAACCCAGGAGTTGGAGACTGCAGGGAGTTGTGATCACCACTGCACGCCAGCCTGGCTACAGAGTTAAGACCCCCACCTCAGTAAAGAAAGAAAAAAAGTTTATTATTCAATAGCAATATAAAAACAAACACTAAGAGGAGACACAGAATAAGACCAGAAGCAGAAAGACGTCTTGGGAAACTGCCACAACAGACCATGAAAGAGCTGTATTATAACTGTATGGAGCAGAAAGAAGGGGAAATGGAATCCAAGATATTTAGGGAGCAGAATCCATCAGACTTAGCTTAAATAAAAACTCAGAATGGAAGTAAGAATATGAAGCACACCAGAGAAAAAGTATGAGCTGATGAATGGTTAGAGTTAAGCCAAGAGAAAATAAAAAATAAATGCTGAATCCAGGAGACCTGAAGGATGTGTTTTATGGAGTGGGGAGGGGGGTGGTCTAAAACCAATTTAAAGCAATAGATTTTAGTTTGGGGTTTTTCCAACTATAATCTCAGGGGTCAGACTAAAATATTCTGCTACCATGGATTTTCACCCATTTTACAGGGGAGAAAAGAGCTTTCTCAATTTTAACTTTTCTCATTAATTTCTCTGAAATAACCAATTTACATATACAAACATACTTAGGAAAAATCTGTACTCTTCTCAGAAGACTAATTTCACGTTACATAAATATACTAATTTTCAGCTAGTCCATTTGTTCTCAGGCTGTGATAAAATTAAATGTCAGTGTTTCATGATATCCTACAAAATGGCATTAGCCAAGGGCATAATCAGCATGACCTTTTCTTTTTTTTTTTTTTTGAGACAAAGTTTCACTCTTGTGGAGTGCAATGGTGCGGTCTCAGCTCACTGTAACCTCCGCCTCCTAGGCTGATTCTCCTGCCTCAGCCTTCCAAGTAGCTGGGATTACAGGCACCCACCACCATGCCTAGCTAATTTTCGTATTTTTAGTAGAAAATGGAGTTTCACCACATTGGCCCACCCGGGTCTCCAACTGCTGACCTCAAGTGATCCACCCACCTCGACTTCCCAAAGTGCTGGTGTTACAGGCATGAGCCACTGCACCCCGCCTGAGCATGACTTCTAGCATGTAAGAACTAGTTCAGATGAAAATATTTAACAAAGAAATTCTCTACTGTGTCTATGTCATCTATGTTTGTTTAGCATTTGGATAGATATTCTAACGGAAAAATGCGTGAGTTTAAGGTGGGAACCAGATATCCAGAAGGAAACCTAAGGAATACCACCGTATAGAAGGGTGGGAGGAAGAACAGATATCCCAAAGATTTGTTTCGTTTTGTTTTTCTGGAGACAGTCTCATTCTGTCGCCCAGGCAGAAGTACAGTGGCGCAATCTAGCTCACTGCAACCTCCGCCTCCCAGGTTCAACCAATTCTCCTGCCTCATTCTCCCAAGTAGCTGGGACTACAGGCGCATGCCCCCACGCCTGGCTAGTTTTTTGTATTTTAGTAGAGACAGGGTTTCACTGTGTTGCCCAGGCTGGTCTCGAACTCCTGAGCTCAGGCAACCCACCCGGCTGACCCTCTCAAAGGAGATTTCTCCAGAATTTTCCAGAAAAAAAGAAAAGTAAGCTAAGGAATTAAAACATTTTGGGCAGGGAGGGAGGAAGGAAGGAAACAAGTTCAACACAGTGTTAAGCTCTTCATAAACATGACCATATTTAAGCCCAAAACAACCCTGAGAGACACAGGTAATATAATTTTGGAGCTGAAACTTGAGGCTCAGAAAACTTAAATTATCTACCCAAGTTCACTCACGCAGGGAGTGGTACAAGATTAGGAACTAGATAGTTGAAGCTCCCAAAGTCCATGAGTTCTCTTTCCAAAGAATACTAAAGTTGATGTTGGTAAACTCTGATGCTTCATTATTTTGTTTCAGAATAAACGCCAGATTGAGATTAAAACTGGAGGGCGGATAAAGTATTAGCAAGACAGAAATAACATCAAGGAACTGAATGACAGATTAAAAAAAGGAGAAATGCCCCAATATAGATTTAAAATAAAGTTGTGGCCGGGCGCGGTGGCTCAAGCCTGTAATCCCAGCACTTTGGGAGGCCGAGGCGGGTGGATCACCAGGTCAAGAGATCGAGACCATCCTGGTCAACATGGTGAAACCCCGTCTCTACT